TGTGGGAAGACCTGGAGCTTTGCTGAAGGTGGTGGGGGGCTGTGTGTGCCTTGCAACCTTGGGAACAAGGAACAAACACCACAAGGCTCCTGTCCATGTACAAAGTGCCGCCTAATCACTTTTGTAGCTGGCAAGCCAGGTTCCTGCCGGCAGCGCATTGCTTGGGAGACCCGAAGGTCCACCAGCTCGCAAGGGGCCGAAGACAAAACCCACAAGCTGCAGTGAGAGCAATCTGCTTGACTGGGCCTTCGTTAAACCTAGAAACCAGAACCTTTGCGGAGAAATTGGGGGTCGGAGGACCACCGGTCTGATAAAATTGCACCCCAATGAGCTGGCAGACTAATGATCTGTAGACCTTTTCTAGGGAAGCAGAGTGCCATCTAGTGGGCGTTTTAACGCTGTGCAGGAACATTTTGCTCTCATTTTACATGCATACTACCTAAACCAGTCCACCGTACCTTTTCTACCCTTATGTTAATATTGAAATGCTTTTAGTTGGAACCTTGTCACACACCTTGTTTTGCTTTTCAGTAGGCTCTGGGAACACAGACAGACTTCGGCCAAGCCAATGTAAACTGCAGTCGGATTGTAGTGGTGAAAATGTCAAGGGGCCCCAGAGCGAATCCTGCTTCCTCTGTTGCCCCTTCTACAGCACTTCAGATCCCCCCCCCCAGCTCATCCAGAGTCGTGGGGAGGCAGATTGAAAGAAATGTCTTCTCACCCAGTCAGGATCTTCTTTGAGGAAGGTGAATGAAAGTTTTGGAAGAGACACCTTGGAATAAAGCTCTTTCAAACATAATATTTGAAGACGGGAGAGACACGAAAGTCAACTTCTATGTCGTTTTCCTGGTAGGGTGTAAGTTCTGTTCCTCACCCTGGGTCCCAGATGAAGAGAGACCAAACAAGATGGGTCAGGGAGCAACGAGGAGTCGTCGGTATTACACACCAAATCCTTACCAGCCCATTTCCCTTTTGCCGAGTTCTCCTGAGAGTTCATACTGAAGCCTTCAGTTTGCCCCTGAAGCTAACATTTCTCCCCCCCACAACACTTTGTTGAATAGATTTCATTATTATTTCATTATTTCATTATTACATACATTAAAGAGTTCACGTGAGTTTCCAGCTAAGTTGCTTTAGGGAGGAATGCAACCTGACTCAGGCTCCCTGTGGCAGAGGGACTTCTATACAGTCGTGCCCCACTGGACGATTACCCCGTTTAACGATGAATCCGCTTAACGTTGACATTTTTGCAATCGCAAGATGATGGTTTAAATGTTTTTTTTTTTCGCTGTGCGATAATCGGGTCCCTGCTTCGGGAACCAATTTTCGTGTTACGACAATCAGCAAACACCTGATTGTTGGGTTTCAAAATGGCCGCCGGCTGAAGAAAATGTGCCCCGCGCTGTTTTTAGGAGTGATTTTTCTCACTACAGGCACCAAAAATGGCCGCCCCTATGGAGGATCTTCGCTGGACGAGCAGGTATTCAGCCCATTGGAATGCATTGAACGGTTTTCAATGCATTTCAATGTTTTTTTAAAAAAATTTCATTTGACGACGTTTTCGCTCTACAGCGATTTCACTGGAACGAATTAACGTCATCAAGCGAGACACCACTGTATATTGAAGTGAAGCATCAGTGCTCACCCTGAAGGTTTTTTTCTTTTGCAGCCACAGGACAACCTCTGCTTTCTGCACCAAATGTCTGTGGAAAGTTCTTCGAGGGGCGAAAATACACACACCTCGTAGTGAAACTAGAAATCCCTGAAATGGCTCACATACTCTGCAGGCGTGCGTGCTAGGAACAATGTAAATGGTTGTGAATAAACATTATAGGCCAGAGGCTGGCGGGTTTGCAAACCAACCTTTGCTGTGCTGAATATTAGTTTTTAACAGCCTCAAAAGTCAAGAGTCTGACATCCGGCGAGAGGAATCCAGCTGCCGAGTGCCCAAAAAAGTACCAAGGGCTAAGCATTTCATACCTCATCTCCATTTCTGACTGGGGACTCTCTCGCTCGCTCTCAGTTCTGGCTGAAGGTAGCTTTTATTTTATGTTAATGACACAGGGGAAAAAAATTCTCAACCTGCTCTGAGCCTGTCACAGTCACTTCCTATGGCTTTTGATAATGAGCTCTTACTTTGCCAACTTCACCTGATAGGCTATTTCCACAGTTGGCTTTAAAAAAAAGAAAGAAACTTTTTGTTCCTTTTCTAATCGTGCCAGAGACGGAGCTTAACCAGACTCTGTGGTAACTTTTTAATGGACTTCTTCTCCCATTGTATCCCTTTTTTCAGGATCATCTTTATTGCCATTGTGATAGCCATTTAGGTCACTAGACAAGTGTTACGGACAGAGGAGACACCTGGAAGAGCTCCTGCCTGAGAGAAACCATTATTTCCATACACAAAATATTGAATAAAAGCTGTCTGGCTTGAACATCTTCAAAAGGAGGTCATGTTAAAAGGAAAGGATAATCCCACCAAGTGGGGTTATTCAATATGAATATGGAATGTGCAATATTCCAACGTGTTTAAAAGCCTCTCTGAGCTGGTGATGTACAGCAACCCTGCACCATATGAGGAGTCGGTGCATGGACTGGGGAGCCCTGGATCTCTATATCTCTGCCACTAACAAGCTAAAACACAAGAGGGTATCCAGAAAGCAGCCTCACACCCACTCGGGGGGGGGCTTATCTCAGTGATTGGAAGGTCATTCTACCCCTTAAATAAGTGCCTTTAAAGCATTCAATAATACTCATCATGTACTGTCAAATCAATTCTGACTGATGGCAAACCTTTTCAAGTAAGGTAGACCATACTCAGAATGGTTTCCCCTTCCCTTCTTCTTCTGGGGGGGTGCCCTGGGACTGTGTGCAGCTCGCCCAAGGCCACCCAGGCTGGCTCTTCTCCTAGGAGGCACTGTGAGGAGTCACACCCAGGCTGGCTCTTCTCTCAAGGAGGCACCGCAAGGAGTCGAACTCCCAACCCAACCACTGAGCTACGCAGCCAGTTCTTAAAGCCTTTAAAATGTATGCATGTGTGTGGGGGGGGGATATGAAATAATCTGAAAATGGAAGCACCCCCCACAGAAACCACCTGGAGATCGTCCACATTCAGGCCAAACATTTTTGAACAAGGGTGAAGATTCGTTGTGCGTGAGCTAGGAGAGGGGCTTTCAGCCTGTAGCTGCCACATTTCCCACGTCTGGACTGCAAGAACAATCTAAAAAGCAGCAAGGCAGACCAACGTGGAACTGTGTTCAGGATGTGTTGAAGTGTTTTTTTTTTTAAAAAAATAGATTTCATGGGTCTTTTCGACAGCGGGAAAGGAACAGATGTGAATCAGACTAGACGCTTTTTGGACTACGAGTCCCACATCGGTCACAGCCAGCAGAGCCAATGGCGTGGATGCTGGGAATCGAGGTTGGCTCATACTTTTGATGGCTACAATCGGACAACCCTTGATTTAAACATCTCTGGCCAGCGCAGCCACAACCGGCAAGACTCCCTCGAGGCCTGCTTTCTGGCTGCCGGGGTTCACGCACCCAGGGTTTTGCACTGCCGAACACACAAGGCCATCATTTGCTCCCCCTCTGGGTCTCCATGTACTGGCAGGAAGCCTCCTAGAGCCAAATACCCTGTATGATGATGGGGCTCCAGCCCCACAAAACCAGGCCATGCGCCAACTTGCAGGATGGGTCTTCTCAAAAACACCGCATGCTTGCTTCCAGCTGGGACTCCCCAGGAAAGACAGCGGTGGTCACAAGAGAGAAATAAATTTATTTATTTATTTATTTGATTTATACCCCGCCCATCTGGCCTAAAAGGCCACTCTAGGTGGCTAGAGTAAATCAGGGGGCTTTGGAGAGACAAAATTTCTGGGGGTTTTGTCCACACGCGGACGTGGGCACAGCTACATGTGATCTTTTGCAGCAAAAGCAGGAGAGCGTCACGTCAGAGTCAAGTGCTGTTGTCGACAGGTGAGGACCTCCCCCCCACCTACCAGAACCTTCCGCCCAGAAGGCATCATTTTACATGTTGGGAATGTCTATAGGCCCCAGATTCCAGCTCTCTTCACATTCTCACATCTGGGCCCTGGGGAAAGGCTTCATTAGTTGTGCTGGCCAAGATTTCTAGGGGGGTTACAACTCAAAAATATCTGGGACCCAAGGTTGGGAACCACTGCACTAGAAGATAGCAGGCGGCTCCCCAGACAGCCATGCGTCCTCCGTATCACACCATCTTTCCCTTTATGAGCCTGCTCAGGTGTTAAGATCATCAGGGGAGGCCCTTCTCTCAGTCCCACCACCCTCGCAGCTGTGCGTGTTGGAGATGCCTGGGAGGGCCTTCTCTGTGGCCGCTCCCAGACTGTGGAACTCCCTCCCACTGGAGGCCAGGCTGGCCCCATCACTGCTATCCTTCTGCAAGCAGGCAAAGACCTTTTGGCTTAAAGGAAGGCTCTCCCTGAATGACTGTCTGCCTGAATGGGATTTTTAAAGGGATAGTTGTTCTTTACTGCTTTGAATACATTTTGGGTGTTGCTTTTATTTACTGTCTTTTACTGCGGTATTTATGGGATCCTTTCAATATTTGTATACTTGCTGTTTTTAACCAATGATGTTAAAAACCACCTTGGGTTCCCTTCATGAAAAAAAGGTGAAGTACAAAAGTATTTAAATGAACAACAACAACAAAAAACGAGCAGGAGGGAGGGAGATACACTAGTTGATGAGTTTGTGCTGAATTTTGGCAATGCCTGCTTATCCAACCCCGACCACCAACTAGACACACTAGCCGAGCAGCTGCCCGAGTGGGTTAACGAGGTGCCACTGAAACCCCAAGAAACTTCATGGTC